GGTCCTGAGATCCGACGAGATCGGGCTAGAAAGCGGCAATGCTGCCGGTCAGGGTAATTTTCCCTACGTGCTATATTGTCAGCAACAGTCCAATCACACCAGCGTACCATAAACCATAGAATGAAACCATAACTCTCATCATAGCAAAGCAACAAAAGAACAGTGAGGTATTAACGATCGTTTTGCAGTTCTTCAGGAATACTCACCAGAGTGGGAGAGTTCTGATCGGGCCAGAAGGCCTCAGGAATTGGCCAGTGGCCAATGGGGACTCCTGTTTTGGGGTTGGGGCGCACATAAATCAGTTTGTGGCAGCAGTGCCATGGCTGAGGCCCGGGGATCCCAGCATCAACAGGTGCATCTTGGAAGTGGGGGAGGAAAGGTTAATTTCACTCTCATCTTAGCATAGAGTACATAAAGACAACGATCTTACTTTCAATACTAAATACACTATGAAGGCTCTTATCTATACTTCTGAGCTGGGTTTGGAAAACAAAGAAACGCATCGGGTTTCTGTAAGGTACCTTCTACAGGTGGAGGATCTGACCCCGTCTTCTCAAAATTTATCACCACCCCACTCTGAATTTTTTGTACCAGTGATTCCAGGCATTGGTTCAACATTCTCTGGGAGCACACACTGTAGGAACGACCTAAAAGACAAGGAAATAAAACAAAATGTTCCTTTAAACATTTAACTTAAATTCTTCATACCAACGCAAATGCAGTACTTTGTGGCTACACTGAATATGCTTTGGGCAGTCACAGCTACTTTTGCTGTTCAGCGAAAATCAGCAGCTCATATGCGCTATCACAGCGTAGGGCGTCCGACAAAAGATACGGTCTGAAAGGAGCTGTGCTTTCAGAGCAGGGAGTGGGAGGTGTACTGCTGCCTGACTGCTGTCAAGTACCATTGCCTCTCACTTTTCATCAGCACCGTATCCACAAACACTGGGCTTGAGTGCAGCCAGTGCTATTGTCTCTAGTCTTTCATCAGCAGTGAGCTGACAAGAACTATGCTTGACTGCACCCACAGCTATTGTCTTTATATTTCCCTACTCATTATAGAGACTAGTCCAGGCCATTTTACCTTACAGATCATTAGATCATCAGCATTATTTTCACAATAGCTGTATCGAGCTGTAACCAGTCTCACTATCTCTAGCCACTGAGCCCAATGACCATAAACAGAGACTGTAAATGGAGGAAAGACAGCAGTGCTCTGGAGAATAAACCCAGGCAACTAAAATCCATTTTACTTTTGAAGAGGGCAGGAGTACAGGTCTCCGGAAGGAAAAGGCAAGAAAATGAATACGGAGTCAACGCAGGTTTATCACTACGCCGAGACACCTCAGGCCACAGCCTTGTGACTGCCGGAGGCTGGGCACTTGAAACAGGATATCTAAGCACTGACATCAGGGCGAGTTTTACAGGCTGCCACTGTTCAACAAGCCGGACCGATGTGCGCACTGTTTTAAATCCACACAACTGAGAGCCTCGCCGCCGTGCCGTGTGGATGTGGAGAGGAAAACTGCAAACCGGCACGCTCGGAACAAAGAAACGGTCCTTTCGCTTTTGTGCTTTTATTTTGTGTGCGTCTTTTGAACGTGCTGATGTAGCAGTCCTGGAGTAACGTGAGAAAGTTACCTCAAAGACAGGAGGGGGAGGGTGTAGAGAATGGTATCCCCTATTGGTACCGATAGGTACTATAACTATTATGGTCCTGATTGTGGTTCCTTGTATGCACACAATAAAGCTTGGCTGGACGAACGAACACTTCAGGCTCGAATTTCTTGGTTTCTACAGTGCCTACGTACAGTAGGGACGCTCCGATCGCCTGCGACCAGCCAGCTCTGGCCAGGGCTCCGAAGAGACAGAGCTCTCCGGGTTGGCATTTCAGCCCCCCCCCCCCACAGGCCGAGAGGACGGCCGTCTCAGCCGCCGGTCCGGAAAGCGGCTCACCTCCCGTCACCTCGCACATGGGGGTGATGGCGGAGTCATCCTGCGGTACCCCTGCTGCGGCCTCGGGCTCCGGGGCTGCGATCCCGGGGATCCTCAGGACCAGCGCAAAGAGGCGCTGGTCCCAGCGGAAGGGCTCCTGGGTCAGCTCGCTGCCGGGGAGCGGCGTGTTGAGGGGCAGATGAAGCTGCAAGACCAGGGACAGCAGTGGGGGGAGGTCCAGGATAACCAGTGGCGGGTTACTTGGAACAGCATCCTCAATTCACTTTTAAAGCAATCCCGAAAGACAATCCCGAAACAGCATCACAGATTCCTTCGGGATCCTCCGCTTGCAGATTTATCTAAACGTGTGTTTGTTAAAAGCAAACTTCAAGAACTTTTCGACCAACTTAAAAATGAAGTTGAGGCTCAAGCATTGTACTGAAGATGCATACTGTATAAACCAGCACTGCATTTCCTTTTGTCTCAATAAACAGATTCCATTTTTTATGCTTTGTATTCTATAATTTTACCTAAATAAAGAATGCTAAACCACCTTCTTAGTCCACTGCTGCAGTACATATAAGTGAATGTCATTGTTTATTCAGGTCTTTCTTTAGCTTGGTTTTATACCACTAATAATTACGCCCTCATATCCAAACAATGCCTTGGCAAACGGAAGAAACTCATCTAGAACAAATGTGATCATTTTCTTTAGAGGAGCTGTCTGACCTCTTCCTGAACTCCACTGCTGCTGGTCAGCTTATTCCCATCTGTGATTGTGACTATAATCGCCGGCTCCAAGAAAAACGGATTCCTTCCCTGTGAAGATATTTGAATTAAGGTGAAACGCTAGCCACAGAGTTCACAGAAAGTTTCAAACAGGAAAACATGAGCAATCAGTTGTGCAGCACTGTTTCAATGATATAACATACCCCGATCTCTTTCATCTGAGATCCCCCTTAATAAAGCCTATTGAACCGTTCATTAAATTATTAGTTTTTTTCCCCCATTTTCCCCAACAGTGTCGGGTCTTAAATTGTTCCTTTTAAGCCTGTGCTACCATGTGCAACATTTGCAAGATGGCAGATTTCAGACCTCCACTCCGAGACTGAACACAAACTAGGAGGCACGGGGCTCCTCCAGGACAAGGACTGGGATTTCTCGAGGAGAGAAGTATTCCCTTCCAAGCCAAAGCCAAAGAAAAGACTAAGTGCAACAAAGAAAACAGGGGCAAGTCATTAAGCACCACCGGCCCAGGGAGGCAGTGCGCTGCGATTTGAAAGCAGGTGTCAGTCATAACCTCAATGGTAAGGTTTAGCAATCGCTGTAGCACCCGAGGAACTAAATCACTGGGGACACAATGCAGCCGCAATCATCTTTACCGTATCCATCACATTTAAACGCACGAGCCTGGTGACGCATCCCAGCGCGGAAACCTGAAGCAGAGAGGAGTACGGGAGAATGATGCGCCAGGAATCGCCGCAGGCGGGCGGGCACTCGGCCTGCTCGGCGGCTGATCCGCGTAACGACCCAGGGGGACCTGGGTGTGGACGCCTCAGCTTAGAGACGGTCCTCTGGGGGGGGGGGGGGGGGGGCAGACTCCTGCAGTGAGAGCACTCTGGCCCCTGGAAACAACAGCGCAGCCAGACCCAACACTACAGCTGGAGTCCACACAACCACAGCGAAAGGGCCGGGGGGCCTGCGAGTGTACAGTTTTGTTTTCATTAAGAAAAAAATATCTCGGAAACAGAAGAAACAATGCGGTGTCCAGGGAACTAGAAATTAAAGAGTCCTGGAGTAAACCTCTCAGACGTTTAAAAATAAATCGTTTTTTTAAACTAATTTGTACATGAGTGTTAATGCCTTTCTAGATGGGAAAAAAAAAGACATTCAAAACAAGGAGGAAATGGCACTGTAAGCCCTTAATCCCCATTTTCACCCAAGGGCTCCAACACGCTGTTGGTTTCATGCTCAACAAGCACTAAAATGAAGTTAACAGCACAAAGGCTTTTCAAACTTGATGACCCGCGGGGCACTGCAATCCCGTATCAAAGCAGCACTGTTTGTTAAGTACAGGAAGGGCCCACTCTTGAGTCTCAACACACCAGCACTTAGTTTCCAAGCCAAGTCAATTTCCTTTTTTTTGTTGTTGTTCTAAAACACTGCAATGAAAAAAAAAAATCGCTGTGCAAACAGTAGGATATAGATGCCCAACTGCATGGTGAAGTAACCATGGCAACCTCCATACTGAAGCCCGAGGTTGAGGATACAGAGGTTGGCTTCAGACCATTTGGAAGGAATCCGGAGGTCCTCTGGGACAACTTGAATGGGATGTACAAAATGATTGCTCCTTTAAACGCTCGAAAAGAATCGCCACTGTGCAGCCCCAGTCCAATCCCGATACGGACAATATAATTGGTGCGCAATTAAAATCGTGCTCCGGCTTAGTCTCCTCATATAACAGGCATGGCTTTGAACGCAGAATCATGCCGCCTTTAACAGTTAGCTGCTTGAACACTCTTAAAACATGCTGCCAGTGCTTAGCAGACGTTTGCAGTTTTTTCAAATCAGACGTTTCAATACAGTATGCTCCAAATGTCAAAATGTGCAGAAACAAAATACTAAATAACTGCTACATATCAGATCTACCATGTCTACTTTCATCAGAGTTTCTGTACAGAACAGCCGTCTTCCTTACTTAAAAAAAGCTGCCTTTAAATGCCACTTATGTCAATATCTACTGTAAATTCATAATAAAAATCTTAATTCCTACAAACTGTGCCTCCTGGTACTATGAAGTACACAGATGGCTCAAAATCAGTTTGATTTGTAGGTGTACTGGAGAGCAGATACACAAAACAGGAAACAGGTGCACAGAAATGAATATAATGAAGACTTATGGTGGAAAAACCCCAAGGAGAAGTGTCAGTCAGCTCTAAAGCCACTTCACACAAGGGTGAGATGAGATACAACAGATCCACTGCCTTAAGCACAAAATATAATTATAACCCCATCTAGACCATACACATGTACATGGAAGAAAGATTTCTGCAGAACGTAAGTTCCACTAACAGACGTCAGCTCAGATACATGTTAATTTCTGAAATTACTATTTTAGCATCAGACTAGATATTTCAGTCCTTCAGTTCTTAAATCGCCTGAACACCAATCAGTTTCAGTCTCAGAGAGAGAAACCGCTTTTAAAAAAAATCTTGTTTTTTGCAATAAAGGTCAAATTACGTTACTTGTTATAGAAATAAAAGTTATTCATACGAACAAACACAGGGGAGATAAAAGCTTGATGCCCGTGCCTGTTAAGGGAAGCCTGGATTTTCCCCCACAGACTACAGTGCGACAGAAATCATACTTTGGAGGTGTTTTAAATAAAGTTAAAGTCAAATAAGTTATAATTCACAAAATTATAACACAGAACAAAACAGAATATTGCACCACCATTCAATGCGAATAGAATGCCTGAAGTCGTGGCAGAACCCAGTTTTGGTGAAAAAACCTGTGAAAACAACTTTTTGGCGTAAAGCAAACTGTTCCTTTTGGATCCGAGGGGTGAACAAACGGAAAAAAAGCAGCGGCTTGATTTGTGAAAGGAAACGACGCCCGTCGTATTCTCAGAAAATGCTGCAAATTCGGTCGACACATTCTGTGTGGCGATTTAGTTTCAATCTCTAACCTGCGACTTTAAGCTGAGTGAAGACGTCTGGGTGCCCGTGAAAACTGTATTACCTTTTAACGATGGTAAGTAAGGCATTTTTGCCTTTTTTTTTTAATTTTTAAAAAGAACCATATGTGAGGAGTGGGTCCCAGCGTGTCATCCGGCCACGCTGACAGGTGTAATGCTTGGAAGACTGTGAGATTGAGAGGGGACAGGAGGCAGTGTGGGGGGTGGTGGTGTCACACAGGCTATTCGGGGAGCTACACATTCTTGAACCCTGCTATGAATTACATACCTGTCCATAGTTGTCTATTCCAGTAACTAATCTATTGAGATTTAGTAAATCAAAAGCTGTCCTTAACGAATGACCGAGAGTTGTGAGTCCAACTGCCTGCAAGTTCTTCAGCTCACTCATAAACGTTGCATGGTTTTCTTTCCATCCAGCCTGCAAAAAAAAAACATATATATCACACAAATATACACATTTAGGCCAAAGGGGAAATACTGGGCTACGCATCTACATCTGAAGTAATTTGAAATGTTACAGCCGTGCAGTGCACATCTTGAGAAACTAAGAAAAACAGAAAACACTGAACACATAGATGTAGATGGCATTTGAACATGAATCTTTAACAAGTGTTTCTCGCCATTCTCTTATCATATCCTGGGTCCATGCAGGACTCTGAACTGCTTAAAACTTGATACGTAAAATAAGACCCCACAGAGACAGGGCCAAGATGCCCAAACACCGTCGTTTCCCTTTAATGCAAAGTACCCCTGGCTCCCTCTCTCAATTGGACACTCATCTGTTTGGGTAAATATCACCCACAGTTCATTGCTGTACACTGGAACAAGATGTCGGCCATGTTTTAGTACGGACAGAAACACTCTTCTGAACAATTTTTCCGAAATAAGTCTCGCTAGTAGCGCCGGGGAGCGCGAAAGGCCGATTCCAGAGCGGGCGATCAAGAAGGACTCAAACGGGAACAGAAGAGGAAAAACCAAACACAGCTTTTACCTTGATCCCGCTGGCCGCTTCTTCGAAGGACAGCAGCATGTACCTGTCGCCTCGGCTCGCCGGATCCCGGGATCTGAGCTGTCGAGAAGACGAAAAAGATTAAAAAGGTGCAAAAAAATAAATAAAATAAGGCAACCTCTCAACTTTTGCACTAGGAATGAAGGAAAGGCAAGGCGTGCTGCCACTCCGGGGATCGTTACAGTACCTTCATGAAAGTCTCAACAGCGCCTTTAGCAGTGTCCAGATAGGAAGTACCCAGATGGGTGCGCTGGTTCATGGAAGCGGACGTGTCTATCAGGAATAGCAGAACGGGCATTGTGTAGGAGGCGATGACACGTCCTGCATGGGCTCACTGTCGGTACATGCCGCCCCAGTGAGAAGGAGGAAAAAAAAAAAATCTTTTTTTTTTTTGTTCGCCGCCCCGCCCGCTGCTTCGGTAGTTATGAAATCCTACACACTGTTTGAAAGAGTGTTCAGTGACTGTTGAGAACCCCTTAATTATTTTAAAGATACCTCTGACTCTGGGGGGGGTGGGGGGAGGGGGGTTAGTTAGAGATTTGCAAGGGACAGTTGTTGGTGGTGGTGGTGGTCTTTCTTTATTGGTTCTCCTATAATTTTTACGTCTATTAAGTTTTTAAGGAAAAACAATAAAACTACACAGCGCCGCCACCCCCCCTGCCTGTCCGCCGCCTCACTCTCCCTCCAGCTCTCCCAGTACTGAAGTCGCTCCGTCCGGCTCCCTGGATTTAAGTCCAGCTCGAGCCGTGGCGCCGCCTCCGAAGCGGCGCCCGCGGGGACCACGTGCCCGGCAGGGCGGCCTCTGATTGGCTGGCGGGCGTCCCGACATTAACATATCTAAATGAGGCCGGAGGGGGGGGGGGGCGGGGGAGGGGGAGATTGGTCCTGCGTTCTGCGCATGCGCCAACCTGAGGCGACTGGAATGTGTTAAAAAAAGAGGTCTGTCTTTTGTGCGGTGGCTTCACACGTGCTGTTAGACAAATTCTCTTGTGAAGTTTATGTTTCTGTTTCAGTGTGGCTGGGGAGGGGGTGCACGGTGTTTTAATTCTCACCTGCAACGGTTTCTTTGCCGGGTGACCCACTGCCTAGTTGTGGCAAAGCGGTGGAAAAAAAAAAAGTTAAATCCGGTGACGATCTAGCTGAACTAGCTAAGCACGCTGTTGACAAGCTTTAAGCGTGAAGGTGTGAATTGACAGTATCAGGACAGAATGGTAAACGTTTTTATTTCTGACGATCTAAAATCGGATTTGAGAGCGTTTCATTCAACGTCTGTGCAGGGCGCCGGTGGTGATCCTAAAGGCAAGGACGTGAAGCATTAACAAAACCCTTTTTTTTTAAATATCCTTTTATAGCGTTCGTTATGTTCTACATACAGCGCCAATAGGAACATCACCATGTATAGCATTCTCGTTATCTTGTAACACGTGGCTTCATGTGACTACAGCCAAGGCCTGTGTCATAAAGTACAGTGTGCTGCTCAAGTCAAAATCCTTCACATGTGTGCTGTCTCACCTCAGTTCACTGAACTGTCCGGTCTCCTACCTGAAATCTATAGGAATTTCAGAACTTGAGCTCTACCAGCAAAATAAACAGGAATAAAAAGGTGGTTTTCTCTCACCCAGTGGTCTAGTTAGTATAAGTGACTGTGAGCTGTGTCTCTGAACCAAACAGCTGCCTCTCAGTGGATCCAGCACCTTTTATTGCTGTGAAAACAGTTCTACATCTCACAAACTGGCATCATTTTCTTCTCATTGCATTAAAGATGACGATAAAGATGGGCAACCTTATCCTTAGGGTGACCACCTGTTGTAAGCAGTGGTTTACACTTGCTTTCAATTGCCATTCCAGTTGTTCGGCACCAGTACAAGACTTTGTATCTCTATCTGGTCCAAGGAGTTCATCCTTGCAGAACCAGCTTGACAATGCTTCTGACCCTGACTTATGTGTTACATAATATGCTGGCTTGCCTCTTATCTAGTACACATTACTGAACAAGAGGAAAATAACAAACACTATACTCATTGCTTCCAAATTCCACTGCAAACCACTGGGAGCTTTGCTGAGCGTTGTCTGTGGTGACTGTGACTGTGACTCCTCTGTAGCTCGTCACAACACAATCAGCCCAGATCTTTCCCGCGTGACTCACTGCAGTCTGGACTGTCATTTCCTCTGCTTGTTTTAGTTTTCGTGCTTCAATTGGAGCTTGCCTTTTTTTTGGTTAACATTCCTCTTCGTCTTTTTCTGCAGACTGATATACTTGACTTGTCGGTTTTTCCAGTTTGCTGGAGAGCCGTTTGCTGTTTGCATTCCAGCTTCTTGTCATTTTGCTGTTTGCATTCCAGTTTCTTGTCATTCAAAGCAGGAAGGCGAAAGGAAAAAAGACGCAGCAGAGAAGCTGCCCCGAAGGTCGATGTGTTGAGAGGGGGGCTGGGGGAATCGCAGCACATCTGAAACATCTGAAAGCCAAGTGGTAGCAGGGTCCTGAGTAATACTGTTCACTTCCCCATCACACCAATGATCTCTCCAGAAGATCTTCCCATGTGTTTTTAATTAATTAGGTAAAAAAATCACCATCTTAGCAGAGGAAACCAAGACCGACAGTACAACACCCATATAACGATCAGTCAACATAAAAATTCAACCAGATCAAACAGACTCGTTGATAGAAATTGAGTGGGGAGCTGCATCATTGTGCATTGGGTGGAAAAGAGCAAGTAAGGATTAATTCCAGGCTGAAATGTAGAAAGTAAAAAAAGCACAACCGTCCAGCTGTTGAGCTGTCTTCAGGTGACCCAAGCCACCTTGTGTTTCGTGTTTGGGAATTAAACTTTCTGTGTTTTCAAACAGACCTGTTGTTTTTAGGAAACAAGTTGCAAAGGTTTTTTTTTTTCTAGTCCACTCCCTGGATCAAGATCCAAGGCCCCTGAGCAAGGCCCTTAACCCCAGCTGCTCCAGGAGTGCTGTATTAAATGGCTGACCCTGTGCTCTGACCCCTAAGCTTCTCTCTCCCTGTCTGTGTCTTTAGACACTCAATCTGTATATACCTTTGCACATTTTGCACATATTTTATTGTTTTTACAATGCACACACCTATGTATTTATTTTATATTTATTCTGTATTACTGTACGTATTTTAATTTTTTGTCTATTCTGATGTCTGTTTTTGCTTGTCTGGGACTGGGCTGCTGTACCACATCAATTTCCCTTTGGGATATAAAGTCTTGTCTATCTACTATCATGCATGACATGTAAACCTTTGGTCTACAAAGGGTTGTGGCACCGACACAGAGTATTGCAGGACGTGACTCAACATCAATCAAAGAGATTCCCTCCATCCACTGTCGCAATAAAGCCCCATCCATCATTCAGGACCCCAGCCATCCCGGCCACGAACTGTTCTCCCCCTGCGCTCTGGCAGACAGTACTGTGCCATTAAAGCACAGACCGCTAGGCTAAAGAACAGCTTCTCACCCTGGGTCCTCCAGTCTTGCCCCATGACTTTTTAGATCATGTTTATGCTAAAGGAACTCAAATCTTTCTCTCTTTCAGTCCCAGGGGTGCTGTCTGCTCTCCCAGCACCCGGGGGGAGTTTGTATACTCTCTCCGTCTTCGTGTGTGTGTGTGTGTGGTGCCCTGCGATGAACTAGTGTCCCATCCAGGGTGTCCCCTGCCTTGCCCCCATTGCTTGCTGGGATAGGCTCTGTCTCCCCCCAGACCCTGAATTTGAAGAAGCAGTTAGAAAATGGCTGGATGGGTCAGGCATCACCCTACCCCCCCTCCTCCTCTTCCAGGAACCTCAGTGTCCCTCTTGACCTCCTGGCTCTTCCTGTTTCCTACTCCCTGCGGGTGTTTTTTTCCCTGCTATGTGCCGTTCAGAGACCTCTCCACAGCTCCTCGTTAGTATAGTGGTGAGTATCCCCGCCTGTCACGCGGGAGACCGGGGTTCGATTCCCCGACGGGGAGAGGGATGTTTTTATTTTGTAAAATAAAATAAAGCGAAACTCATACCAACGGCAGTAAAATGGACTCAGCCTAAGTTAAACTACAAATCTAAAACACTTTAAATACACGATGGGGGGAAGTCCCATACGCTTCCATGCCACGCTCACACCAGGCCTGTGCTCTGACTGAGACCTTACCGCAAAAGCCCTCGGTGGGGGAATGGGATAGTATTCCCATCCCCCGACATCAGGGCTGCGCCGCCCCTGACTGACCTGCCTTTGGCAGCGGCTCAGGGTTCATCCACGACAGCACACGCGATGTCCCGGCTCCAAGAGACGTCCTTTAATAACCCATAACACGGTGGCGCTCTCGTGTTTTTAACGCTCACATAGGCAATGTAAGCTGCTGTTTACACCCCCGTGAATAAATGATCAGAAAGCCTCTTATAATTATTATCGGGGGCTGAAGCAACGCCGTTGGTTATGTCGTGAGCACAGGATGTAAGTAAGGCAGGGACTAGTACCACCCATCCTGGACCGGACTTCCGTCCATCTCGGGCCCCGCACAGACAGAACCACCAGCAGACAGGGGATAATGAGAGATCATGCTGACAAGCATGTCCTTGGAAAGTGGGGGGGATATTTCCACAAACACGGAGAGAACACGCAAACTCCACACAGAATGTGCTCATCGGACGTATGCACTTCCCACGCACGACGTTAAAGGGGGTGCTCACGCTGCATTTCTGAACCCGACTCCACGTTAGGTGTGCACCGCTTCTGTCCTGACGGCGGTACTGGCTCTTCCAGATAAATTGTTTTATGACCCTGCGGCTTGGCCGATCGCCTCTTTTACTTACACTTCAGGTCAATTTGCTGTCTTTGCCCTAGATACGGTTATCTAAGCAAATAAAGCTATTTACTAAAAAAAAAGCTTGATGCAGTTTACTGGGAGAAAAAAAAAGCCGTCCTGCCTTTTTAAGAGCCGGCTGTGATGTCGGTATGCCGAGTGCGCAGCCTCACACGGTGTTTTCTGTGGAATGATCTATGAAGATGGACGCAGAGAGCACACTAGTCAGCTGACAAGCAGCATCATTGACTGCACCGCGCTGTGTACAAAGAATTAAGGTTTCAGACGAGGTCGGGCAGGGGTGTTATGCCACTCAGGGAAAAACGGCTGAAGGGACGATTGCATCTCCATGGCGGCGGGAATCCACCCCAAACCTCTGACCCGCAAACCCGTTCTCCTCAACAAGATCGAGGCGTCGCAAGACGTCGTGAACACCGCCGTGATCATCCCCAAGGAGGACGGGGTCATCAGCGTCTCGGAGGACAGGTGAGACAGGCGGAGCCGCCGGACCAACGAGTGCCGGAGCTGACCGACTGTACTGTGCGTTAGGGAAGTCGTGGTTCATAGGAATGCCGCTTATCACGCCACTCAGTGCCTTCCATAATTCGAGTGTAAAATGTTGATCGTATACTTGGAGTAAGAGCAAGGGTGACCGCTTTGCATTTGATTAACTTGAGATCCCGGAGCCTTCGGTCGTGATTAAGCTTGCGATTGCCATTGTACGTGACCTCAAATAATTAATGCATTTAAGAATATCAAGGGCTGATCTCGAAGCCTCCGTAGAAACGTAGTTTCCTTTTCTGACAGCTAAAAAAAAAAAAAAACCGACGTGACTGTAGTGTGCCAGCTGCCCGACAGGCTCCGAGGAGCTGCGTTAGAGACTGCTCCGGTCCCAGTGCGCTTAGCTATGCAGGAGTCAAGTTCCAGCACGAAGCCACAGCACGCCAGCCTTGCCGCCGATACGCAAGTGTGCCAACTATACATTAGCTGGTTAATTTCATTTTCGGCTGAGCTCTTACTGACCCATTATGGGTTGCTTTAAGATTAGGATCGATGGGGCATTATTTCGTGTGGGAGAGCTGAAATCGAAAGTAGTGTCTAACCTAAAAAAAAAAGTAAAGCCCAGCTTCTCTTCCAGTGGTATTTGTGGTGCTTAATCAGCGCTCCGTGTATTAAGTCGTGTACAGTGTGTGTACTGTAATGATTCCCAGTGCAGGGTCTTGGCAGTGCACTCACGATAGGACTTCAATAGTTCATTAGGGGAACAGCACCTTGGCATCGCCACTGGGCCCAGAAAGCTGTCTCGCAGTAGCCATGTAGGAAAATGACTGGCTTTACATTTAAAATACAAATTATTGCACAGAAGATAATATGCAATGGAGGTAGTACAGGCAGTGGACGAAAAGAAATGGAAACGCCAGAGTGAACAAGGGACACCGGATATATTGGAAGCAAGGGCTTCTGGACAGGTGTGGCTCCCGTATTCGTTAATCCGAAACATCCCAGCACGCTTAGGGTTCTAAATAAATCTGTTGGACAGGCTTGACTGCCGATAATCATGGCTGCAGGAGGAGATCTCGGAGACTTTGAAAGAGGGGTGACTGTTAAGGTGTCCGGGTGTCCAGGACAGCTCATCGTGCTGATGTCTCACAAGCAGTGTGTCCAAGATGGGGTCAGCATGGGACTGGAACTGGACTGGAAGTACGTGTGCTAGGATTGTGATAGCCTTGGCTTTTTCTCAAGCTCCTTCATGATCACAGCTCCCCATCGCTGCATGCGTCCGATCCAAACCCCGCATCTGAAATGCAGGGGCAGAACAACGAGTGAACAAACTGCAAAACCCGGTCCGCTGAGGACCCTGCACGGGACCGCCGCTCATCACACCTGGGAGCACACGTTCGAGATGACACTGGTGAAAGAGCACAGGCAGGTGTCTGCTGACCACTGGAGAAATGTGCTCAGACGAACCATCTTTCCCCGTGATCTCGACAGAAGTGGCTGAGCGCACGCGTGGCGCTTGCTTCAGGAGCTCTGCCGCTGGGTCTGTCGTGTTGGTGGGAGCGTGTTCCTGGCATTGTTTGGGTGTGCTCGTTCTCTAAGAAGGCAAGGGCTGGTCTTCACCCCATGATGCATCATTTCCTTCGCCGAGGAGGGGTGTCTCCCAGAACGACAGTGTCTCCTTTCACAGAGCGCGTGTGATCACCTGGGGGTTGGATGAGCAGGACACTGATGTTATGCCTGTCATGGCCTCCTCAGTCTCCAGAGTGTTTATAGGGAGTTCTGTAATGATGCCTGAGACGGCATTTTTCACCTCCATCAACCAAGCATGAGTTGATTGACTTTCCCATGGAAGAATGATGTTGCATCCATCCTGCAGAATTTCAAATGCTGGTAGCCACTGTGCCACAGTACATGACGTCCAGCTCCTTGATAAGTACTCTAACTTTACATGGGTTTTTACATTTTTTTGTCCACTACCTGGATATTCTCAGCTCTGTATATGGACAAAGAAAATCAATGCCCATTACTAATGTGTTTTGTATTATGTAAAGTGGTGCATTGTACATGATTCTACAACTGCTCATCTTAAACCTCTTTTGAAAACCTTCTATGCTGGGTAAAACAAGCATGGGCATGCTGATATTTATTGGTTCAGCTGAGTAACCTGGGACAACCACCTTGATTAGCAACATTTATTTTCCATATTTGCATTCATGGTGTTTGCAGACAACCACAGAAATACAGGCTGCCCTGCAGCAGATGTGAGGTTGTTTGTGAATCCTTGCACACTAGATAGGTAATGGGATGTTTTTGAACCACTTTGCTTTGTTTTCAGGACCATCCGAGTATGGCTGAAGAGGGACAGTGGCCAGTACTGGCCTAGTATCTTTCACTCTATGCCATGTAAGTGCACTGTTACTCACTGCTGGTTTCCTTGTACCAGGAAGCTGTGCTCTGCTGCGCACTGCACTCTGTGCTCTGGTGTTCTCTGCTGTGCTCTGTGCTCTACAGTGCTGTGCTCTGGTGTTTTCTGCTGTGCTCGTTGCTCTACAGTGCTGTGTTCTGCTGTGCTCTGTGCTCTAGAGTGCTGTGCTCTGTGCTGTGCTCTGTGCTGTGCTCTGTGCTGTGCTCTGTGCTGTGCTCTGTGCTTTGCTCTGGTGTGCTCTGGTGTGCTCTGTGCTCTGCAGTGCTGTGTTCTGCTGTGCTCTTTGCTCTGCTGTGTTCTGCTGCGCTCTGCGCTCTGTGCTCTGGTGTTCTCTGCTGTGCTTGTTGCTCTACAGTGCTGTTTTCTTCTGTGCTCTGTGCTCTGTGCTCTGCTGTATGCTACTGTGCTTTGCTATGGTGTGCTCTGGTGTGCTCTGTGCTCTACAGTGCTGTGCTCTGCTGTGTTCTGCTGTGCTCTGTGCTCTGCTGTGTTCTGCTGTGCTCTGTGCTCTGCTGTGTTCTGCTGTGCTCTGTGCTCTGCTGTTCTCTGCTTTGCACACGTGCCTGTTGTTCATTCTGTGTTCCTCCTGGTGCTTCGGTGGTGTTGCAGCATTTTGCAGAGCAGACAGATGACTGGTTTTCATAAAGCTCTTCTTCAGCACTCTTGAATGAAAAAAGGAATGAAACATGAAAACCAGCCTTAGTGTCACAGATTGAAAAAGAAACTTTGACACACGCCAGGTTTGCTCTTTAATTGGTGTTAGGAAGATTAAACCCTTTTATAGCTTGTCTGGACTGCTTTGCAAGGAGGTGTAAATAGCAAGGCGGTAAATGTTTTATGAATATGGCCAGGAACAGAAACAGACACCCTGCTTAGCCTTGCTGCTTTACTAAAATTTAATAGCAGAAGTAACAGTGTAGTTCCTGCCTAAATAAGGCTGAAGGTTAAATGTTTTTTGCAGAATTTCTGAGCATTTCAACTTACTAAATAGCACTTACTAAATAACGTCAGCCTCCTCTTTCACATTACCTGGACTCAGCATTTCTTAAGGACAAAGGGATATGAAACTATTGCCTGTCCTGATCATGAAGATATAGTATTGGACTGCACTTTGCTCTAATTCCCAAGGTGCTTCTGGTGATGATTTCTGGATTGCGCTTCAGTTTTATTTTCCAGGGATTTCTGTCTGTGAGTGTAGAACTGTATAGGAGTGGTACTGTTTGTACAGGCTCATTCTAAGTGTCTGGTTGACTACTTAGTATTTGAACAGGTAAAGGTTTATTCCATGCTGAAAGATGGGAAAAAAGGAACACTATGTTTTGGCTGTGGAGCCTTCAAAATGTTTATTTTCTTGGCCTTTCAGCATGAAATACACCTTTACCTGTTCATTTGCAGTCTACACACACTGACACAGCTCCCTTCTTAAACATACTTAGTATTTGTTCCGAGTCAAAGTATGTATATTATTCACCAGCACATATTGTAATTAATCACACATTTAACACATTAATTAACAGTGCAACTGATTGTTTTGATATATTATCTATTGCACGGCATCAACCAGTATTTATACTGTGCATTCGGGGCAGTCAAGTGTTAGCGCTCATCAGTATGCAAGTACGTTTTCAGTAGACCTTACTGATGCTTTTCTATGGGGAGTTCCATTGATATGCAGCAGTAAAAAGACAATGTATTTCAAAATCCAATGCAATATTCTGCAATGTGAGTGATCCCTCCTGGTCCTGCAGTGCCACAGTACAGCACGTCCCCTGTAAATCACCATTTTGTAGCAACCTGGTTTACACGTAAGTTTGGATCAATTTAGTAAATTTATTGTAAATTAATATTAAGCAAAGTAGTTTAATTAATAATAATAATAATAATTATTATTATTATGATGTTAAGACTGGTCATGTAAGGCTGGTGCTGAGCTACTGGCATTTGGGATTTTCACTTTCATTTTGCATGATCATGTCTATTCATAATGATCTTCTTAAAATGACCACCCATCTGTGGTCTAACAACGTAAGGATGAGCTCTAGGAACTGTGGGGACTCCAGGAGAACGGCCATCCCGTTCATTACAGCGCAAAGTGCTTTCGAAATTCACCATTAAAATGAGAATTAAGACCATTATTTTTAAAGTATATCAGTTACATGAACAGTTCTTTGTGTGGCTGACTCCTTCTGTTCTCTTTTCTTAGTCTTTAACAGAAATCTGAGCAGTGCAGTAAGTGCTATGCACTTGAACATAGTCTTTAATGTCTTATTTTTAAGTATCCTGTTGTACTGGGGTGTTTTAAACAACATAGTGGTGTGAATGGAGGTAGAGGGAACATGGGCCTTGACTTTCTCTTGTTGCTCTTTTGCCTCCTCTTCCAGCTCCCTGTTCCTGCATGTCTTTTAACCCTGAGACGAGGCGCCTGTCTGTTGGAATGGACAACGGCTTGGTTTCTGTAAGTGATGTGTCGGGAGTTCCTTCACTGCCCACAGTGAGGGTATTGAGAGGAGGCCAGAAGGAACCTGTACCCCCTCAGAGCAGCCCCTAATGTTATTCACCTACGCCAGTTTGGGGGAAAGTCTTCATCAGAGGAGCAGGACACAGTCTTGTGTAGATTCAGTTTTATTCAATAATGACAACAACCCACACTGGGTCTGCCCCACAGAACAGACACACTGCAAGGGTTTCCCAGCTCTTATATACAGTCAGAAAGAAGTCTGTTTCACAATCTGAGTGCTTGTCCTGTTCTTTGATATGTAATTACTGCTTGTCCTACTTTGTCTTGCTCAAGGTTCTGTCCTTTGATAGGCAGCAGACATTGGTCTGCTTTGTCCTGTTTGTGGGTGTTGTTCCTGTCTTTTATTGTGTAGCATTAAGCCACTGGGGCTGCTAAAGCCAGTCAGCTTTATGGCATCTTATCATAACTTTTGTTGAAGGCGAAATTAACAGACCCCAGCAACACCTCTAACAATGTGCTTCAGTGCTGATATTGCAATGCTGGATAAGTAAGATATATACATGTCCCACGTCACCAGTAAGCTGTAGAGGATGTAAAAAGGTTAGGTTCATGGTTCTTAATTGTACTAAAGATAGTGAAAAGCATAAGCACTTAACTGATCTTTCATGAGTTAATTAAGAAACAAATATGCTCTCTCAGATGTGGAATCTACAAGTTGAATGATTCTACTGTAGAAAGGTTTTAACAGGTTTAAAGAAAACTGGTTTTAACAGGTTTAAGGAAGCCCAAAACTGTACTTTAATCCTAGGAAGGCTTGATTGTAATATCACACCCACTGATCGAGCTGTGTCAGTGAAGCTGGGCTTCTCATTTCCTTCAGCAGAGACGTCATTATGACATATATTTTATTTCTCATCTCAACGGACATTACTATAACCCATAGTATAAAGATAAGTTACAACATTCTTAAGATGATAACGTGACAAGACAAGGGCATTTTTTAAGATAAGCATGGAAAATTTGTAGATTTGAAGAATGCTTGTTTTTTCTTTCACTGCTTGATAGCTTTCGGTTTTGCATCTCTTCCAAACTGTGTTAGCATTTATTTTTCTGTCAGGCTACCTCGGTTCTAAAATGTGATTTTCCTTTCCTCAGGAATTTCTTCTTTCTGAAGATTATAACAAGATGACCCCTGCTCGGAGCTACCAGGGTGAGACAGGATGTGTTGGTTTATATAACTAATTTCTGCAAGTTTTCCCAGTGGAATGGTAGCAACGATACAGATGAGTTTGATTATTCAATGAAAATACTATTTTCACCTCCACAGAGATACTTGTGTTTTCACTTATTTTAGGGATTTGTCTGCTAGTTGGTTGCGAACAGACTTTGCCTGTAACAAAGTCATCCTTGGGCTCGAAGAGCCGCAGTCCAGCAGGTCTGATGAGTCGCCTTTAAATCTTTGAAGACTTGGGACCCATGCGATTTCTCATCAATGCGAAACAATTAATTGAATCGATTCAATCAGGAATGACCAACTATGCTCCACGAGAGCCGAAGGTTCTCTTTCTTTCCCTTTTAAAATAACTTCCAAACTACTTCACCTTGCAAATCACCTGCGTAGGTGGTTAAAAGTGAAGTGTTCATGGTGTGTGTGGCTGATGAGGATTTAAGGATGACCTCTAAAACATGTTGGATTGTGACTCTTTAGGACCAGGCTTGGCCACCCTTGACATAACGTAACAAAGAAATAACCATTCTAATAATTTTTCAATAGCTACTTATGAGAAGTTTACAAATGACCAGGCAAGCTGAGGAATGAAATTTGTCCTGCAGTGTCTAGTCCTACTGTGTGCAGGGGGGATGAGCTTCTCTTGTCTTTTTCCTGGTTTCCCAGGACAGGGCGTCGGGTTACCGTGAAGTGGACATGCTCCTCTTGTGCTTCTCCTTGTTTTCCGTGAAACGGCTGTGCTTCCCTTTCCTTTTTTCCTGGTTTCCCCGTGACGTGGCCTGTTGTGTTCCGCAGCTCACCAGGGCAGAGTGACGGTGGTGCTGTTTGTGCTGGAGATGGAGTGGGTGCTGAGCACTGGGCAGGACAAGAACTTCACCTGGCACTGCTCGGAGAGCGGGCAGAGGCTGGGCGGGTACCGCACCCCTGCCTGGGTGTCCGGCCTTCAGTATCTTTCTGCTGCGAAGCTGCAGGGGCACGAGCCGCTGTGTAGCGCTCCTGCCTGAGTCTGTATGACGAGCTTGTTGATGTACTGGGGTCATTCTGAATGATTTACAGTATTACAGTACGTGCCTCCTGGAGTGATGGGTAAAAAACAAATGGGAATCCCAGTTTTGCAGTTATCAGACGCTGCTTAATACAGAACAACCAGGCAGCTTGCAGAAGAGGGAAGTGGTGATAACAGCAACCAGCACAGAGTGGGAGAATTGCAGCCTGTGCGATAACAGCCCAGGCCCTGTTATTCACTCCAGGACTAAGCTAATGGTACTATGATATAGTGGTCCGAGTCATGGACCTGAGACCTTCATGTCATAAATAAGTGACCACTGGCCCTTGATTCGTCCTTTAAATAAAATGGCACGCATATGAGCCTTGCTACTCCTTTCGTGATTTATTTGTGCTGATGGATTGAACCAGGATCGAGACACAAATCTAGAGTCCTTAGTCCTTAACCAGGGCTCCCCAGGTTTGATGTGGAGACGAGACATGCCTTCGTAGGCGATCACTCGGGCCAGGTGACCATCCTGAAACTGGAGCAGGACAGCTGCAGCCTTGTCACCACATTTAAAGGGCACACAGGTCTGTATCAGTTTCGTCATCTGTATTGACACCTTGTCAGACACAATAACAAGAGCAGTTATTTACTGCCAGGGATGCTAGTACAGTACATTAACCCCATTCACATGTCTGGGCTTGTATCTGATTTGCTTTTGCAAACATTTGGCAAAAGTCATTTGTTCATACATTTCTCACTCCCTTCAAGTTGATGTCAGGCATTTGCTTTACATACTGCAGCATCTTGCCAGAGATTTTGTTGAGTAATTATTTGTATATTTAAATTTAGGCAAATGTTAGTCTGGAAGTGAATATATCTGTCCTGTTCTATGCAGAGCAAGCAAATACATTAAAACAATAATATTATATATAATATATAATCATAACAATAATAATAGCAGCTTATATATATCTCCGTTATATGGCACTTCTCAGGTTCTCAGTGCACTTAACACATACTGTAGGTGACTCACTTTATCCTTTGTTGAAATGTGTCATTCCTAACTGTTTTCATTTTTAAATTTGTATAACCATCATTTATCTCTGTTTAAGTCAGAGTCATGGTCAAGAGTTAAGCTAAATTTGTCTATCACAGCCCCAGAGAATCATGGTCAGGTTAGCGTCACCTGCTGCTGCCCCAGAGAATCATGGTCAGGTTAGACTCACCTGCTTGCTGCCCCAGAGAATCATGGTCAGGTTAGACTCA